GGAGGTACTCAGGGGACTGTATATGATGCTACGGATTTGAACCAGGGCTGGGGGTGGGGGTCATGATGGGGTGGGAGGAGGGATGCAAGGCAAACACCTTAAGTGTTTGAAAAAAATTAAAACATGCTGAATGTTAGGTGGCATATTGTTCAAGATTCTTACAGGAAATTCCAGATTGTTCTCTGAAGGCACACTCATTGAACATGGTGGGGATCCTGTAACCCTGCGGGATATATCTTGTTCAATACTTGTCTTTCCATCTGCACACCCCCACCAACCAACATCTCCCTGTTACAGAAAGAACCTTGTTATAGAAAGAACCCTGTTATAGAAAGAACCTTCATTGACTGCAGAGACAAAATTCACTTCACTTCCCTTATCATTATTAACCCATATGAAGTTACAGAAAGCTTTCTGTTTTCTGAAACATGTGTCATGGTAATCTGTACCCTTAAGCCATAGAGTTACAGGGTGAGGTGGGGTGTTGTTTCATGTTGTTGTTGTTTTTGTTGTTGTTGTTTTCCCTTTGGTTAAAAATTAAGGATCTTCACCATGTAGCATGTTGACTGCAGTTCTTTTCAGCATGCCCTTTTGTTGTTGGGGAATTCATTTAACTTAATTTTGCTTCGCGTTTACCCCTTTTATGCTTCCCTTTATGGTGGCTGTCACTGTTCTGAAGTTTTAAAAGTTCATCTTCCCCCACCCACCGCCCACACCAGAGTCCAAGGATTTGATGACTAACACTTCATTGCTTACATGTGCTCGGGGGAGCAGCCTCTCACTGAGATAAGGATGTTCTATATTTACAGAGGAAGGAATAGAGATGCTTGTACCATGTCCACGGGGCCTGTGCAGGTTCTGTGGGTGACCTTCCTGGTCTCTAAGAGGGAATCCGACTAGGGTCCCTTTACCCTGATGTGCTCATTTCTCTGTGGCTTTGTTGGCTTCTCCATCTTTCAGAGACGGGCTGTGTGTTAGACACCACACTGGGCATCTGAAAGCTCTCCCTGGTAAGCCATGGGCTTACATTTTATAACCAAAAGAAACCTGTCCTTAAATATCTACATAGTGATGAATGATCTCTTCATAGATCCCAAGGTTGTCTGATCTCCAGTGAACCAGTTAGGGCTAATTTAATTGCTAGATTTGGCTTTAGTTTTAACTGAGGAGTAAGTCAGATTTTCCCTAAGACAAAAAGAATTCCTTCTCCACAAAAATTCATGACTCGTGGCCCAGCAGGGTATTTTTGACTCTGAAAACCTATTGCCTTCCTATCAATACTCTTCCAAATAATTTCCTCCATTGGTCTCACCAATGGTTATTTAGTGCTGCTTCACCCCTGAATATTTCTGATCAGGATCCATTGCAAATAATCTGCAGGAGGGTCCGAAGGAGGGTGAATTATTCTCAGAGAATGTGAGTTTTTCCTGTTTCTCTGTCTTCGGCATTGAAACCCAACTCCCTCTGTCTCATCCAGGCTGAGGGGAGATGACAATACAAGCTTGAGTTCCAGTCTTGTTGAGAAGTCAAATGAAGCATGGCGAAAACAGAGCTAATTTATCTTTTTTACCCCTTTCTTCACGTCTGTTCCACTTCCTCTGGCTCATGGTGAAGCATGCTGGCCTGTTGAAATGCTAGAAGAGAAAGCTTGCCCCTGGGTTCTGGGTCACCCTGTAGGTCATCTGTCAAACCTGCATCTTTCTACTATACCTTTCTTCACCTGGTTTTTCTGACTCAGCACTGTGATGAGGAGCTCTGTGCAAACTCAGGTGACATCTGAAAACCAGAGGATTTTAGTCTTTTCACTTTATTCATTCACTGACCCTTTGTTGATTGATTAACCAATTGCTTGATTTATATGGCATCCTAACTGGAGAAGACTTTCAAACAAGTGGTGGCAATACCATGTGGCTTATTTTGTCATAAATGGAAGAATAAAAGTACAAAGAGGCACCAAAACTTCACAGAGAATCTGATCTATTTGTATATGCACACATTTGCTAGACAGAGTGTGTGAGCAGAAATATCAATGAGTGATAAAATAATTGACAAATGATAACAGAGAGAAAAGAAGAAAGAAAAGAAAGAGACGGAGGAAAGAATAAAGGAAGAAAGAAAGTTATAAGCGGTGGGCAGGCAGGCATGCATGAAGGAAGAAAGGAAGAGAGGGAAGGAGTGAAATAGGAAGGAAGGGAGGGAAAGAGGAAGAGAAGAGAGATGGAAGGAGGGAAGAAGGAAGAGAGGGAGGTAGAAAGGAAGGGAAGAAGGAAGGAGGGAAGGAAAGGAGGGAAGGAGAGCGGGAGTAAGGGAAGGAAGAAGTAAGGGAGAGAAGAAAGAAGGAAAGAAGGAAGAAAAAGAAAGGAAGGGATGGAGGGAAGCAGGAAGGAACAAAGGAAGAAAGAAGAAAAGAAGGAAAGAAGGAAGGAAGGAAAGAAAGAAGGAGAGTGAGTGAAGGAGGGAGGGAGACAGAAAAGATAGAAAGTCAGGAAATTTCTTGACCTCTAAGAAACTATAATCTAATGAGACAAAGAAGAGAAATGTCATTGCATCCATATTTAGCAGGCAAAACAACTCATGCAAAGTAGAATATGTATGAATTAACGGAGGTAGAAACACAGGTAAGTGTGAGCTACATTTGTTTTGTACTAAAAGGAAATCAAAGTGAGTTATTTTAGTAGGAAAAGCAGGGCTAGGATTAAATAAGATCTGTGGTAATATTAAAACAGTTCAGCAGGCCACGTGCCACCTCCAAATACCACAATACTGACATCCCGGTAGGAGAACAATAAATTTGTTGGGAAAGTGCATAGAAGTAGACTAAGCTCAATAAACAAAAACAGTGACACAGAAGGCTCAAATAGCAACAAACAGCTTAGTAAACCCTCAGGTAAGGACTTAATAACCCCCATAGGGAGATACAGCAATCTTCACAAATTTTCTTTTACTGAAGTATTTTTTGATGATCCTTAGTTGTAGACATTAAGTAACTGAGTTTTTTGATGACTCTTAGTAACTTAGCCACTTAGTTGCAACGAGCAATATAAATGAAATTATTTTGTGCCTGCTACGAGGACAGGCTTGAAGGGTAGTTGGGAAAATGGGGAAAATGGTGACTCTGGTGGTAGGATTGATGTTGGAATTCTGAATGCCCATAACTGTTTTGTTATGGACAGATTTGTAAATCGCAGTGTTTAGATTTTTTTAAATGTGGGGAAAGTAAAATAGTGAGGAGGGAATTTTGAAAAGTGTGTCTGGGGAAATTTTCTAAAAATCGGTCGGCAAAGCAAGGAAATGAAAAGTCACTCATACCTATGACAAATGTCCCCTGAGTACTTACAATGTGATAGGTGTTGGCAAGGTGAATCCAGATATGAACAACTCTTCTCAATGGAGCTTTTGGTGACAAAAATGACAGTATTTAACAATAACTTAATGACACAATTACAAGTTTTATTGGTGAGTGCCAGAGTTTGGGTGGATGGAAGTAGATATTGGTGTTGCCAGAGCCAAGGATTCTAACCTAGTCAAGGAGTGTATAAGGAAACAGCATTTATCCTCAGCATCAAGTAAAGGGACACTTGGAGAGCGTCATAGGGGAGGAAATAAGGTGTGACTGAACTGTTGAGGGAGTGGAAGGGGAAAATAAGAGCCAAGACCCCAGTAAGAAGCACCCCACATCTACTGTTATCTAAAAAGACAGAAAACACGAAGTGTTGCTGAATGGTCACTTCTCTGACATGGTGGGTGTGAGTGGGAAATGGTCAGCCAATTTGAAAAGCAATCTGGAAGCTTCTCCAATGTGTAGTCAAGAGTTCCCATTGGGCTCAGTGGTTCCCCTCCAGGTGCATTCCCAAGAGAAAAGGAAGCAAGCCCCAGTTATGTGTGCTGGACCTTCAGAGCAGCCTTTTCCACAATGTCCCCAAACCGAAACAAAGCATATGTCCATCAGCTGAAAATGGAGAAATAAAATGGAATATTGTTTGGAAATACAAGGAGTGAAGTCGTGGTTTATACAACCACCATGTGAGCACTAGGCTGAGCTAAAGAACTAGCCACACACAAAAACAATCTTGGATTCTTTCTTTTGTGGGGAGTCCCAAGCAGTGCCCTGGGTGTTGTGGCTACTTTCTGTGATGCCTGCCCAACTGGGTATGGAGAGTAGAGGTGACAATGTGATGAATGTGATGAATGTGATGGTCTTGCAATGCCCCAAACCACCAGCTCTACACCTAGCAATGCTGGGAATGCAGGGGTAGGATTAGAGTGGCTGGATGGGTGGTGCATGTGATGCCAGGATTGTAAAATTTGTTGGATTTTGACACACGTCAAGCCTGTGCCCCTGACCACTGAACCATCTTCCTGGTCCCCTCTGTTTTTCTGGTTTTATGAAATATCCCAGATAGGCACAGCTGTAAAGATAAGATGTAGTTTAGTCTGCGGAGGGCAAAGGGAGTTGGGGTGATGCTGAATGAAATGGGGAGAGGCTGTTCAGACGATGTACATGTGGCTATAGAGTTCTTTGGTGGGGGTGGGGAAGAAAGAATTAATATAAAATTGATTGTGATGAAGTAAGTATGCTAAAATCATTTGAGTTGTATAGTTCAGCTAGATTAATTGTGTCATAAATCCCAAAAAAACATTTCATCTGTACTTTTTAAATGAAAGTATGTTTAGCACATTTTTTGGGGGGGGAAGAATCTCTGTTCTGAGGGAAGGCCTACAGTCTCTCTCTTTTTTTAATTTTTATTAGGTAAACACCATGAAGTACCGTTGTAGACTTAGAAATTTTTGTGATTGGGTTTCAGTTATACAATGATCGAACACCCATCCCTCCACCAGTGCCCATTCTCCACCACCACTGATCCCAGTATCCTTCCCCTTTCTTTCCTTCCCTCGTTTCTTCCTAAAGTGAGGTTTATAATCCTGGGGTGGGGTACCTTTAGCGCGTGAAATGAAGGGTAATTGTATTTCTATTCAGGTGACAAGCAAAGATAGCAAGCTTGATGTGAAAAGTTTATTGAATTTGAGGAATTAAAGAAAATGACAAAGATTAGATCAACATAATTAAGTCTCTCCAATGAAATTTATTCTTTTTCTTTTCTCATTCAACACATACTTGTGGTCATTTACAAAATAGTTGAGGTGCCGTAGGGAGTGCGAGTCTGTGCATTCAAAGGAACATATACGTATATATTTTGTAGCATATACCTGAGACCAAGTTTTAAATATTTTCTAGTCAGTCTACCGAGGCTATCACCTCCTTTCTCTCTGGCACACAGTTTTCAAGAGCTGACTTTGGTCTATCACAAATTGCTTAACAAGATTAAACACAGTAACATTTGGAAATCTCTTGAGATTTACAGAAACACATAGCACTGTCATTGAAAATTCATACAATAGTGTGTGTTGAGTGATGAGTCGGTCTGATAGCACTGTTGGGATTCTTAGACCTACAAGAAGTGGGGTGTGAGAAGTACGCTTGCCCTCTTTGATTCCCTGCTCCATCCCTGGGGCTTATACATCTGCTTTGGCTTAAGAATGGCTGGAACCTTGGCTTGGCTGGAATCAGTCTGCCAGACCACTGCCAGCCTGGGGGCCCCTGAAGTGACTAATCATGAAATTGCTGACAGGAGCCCCAAATTCACCAGAGCCCAATCAGAACTCATCTCTTCTAAGGACAAAACCAAACCTTAGGTAAATATATGGCTTATGAGTGTCATCTGTTTGCTGCCTTTGCATGTGGGAGACTTGTGTCCAATGCTGCCTTTGTATGTGGAAGACCTGGCTCCAATTCCCAGTATCACATGGTCCCTCAAGTACTGCTGGGAACAATCCAGGACGCAGAGTCAGGGATATGCCCTGAGCACCATTCATGTGCCTTGTCAAAACAAAACAAAACAAAATTCATGTGAGCTGAGACTCCCCCTGACCCCAAATTTGCAGCACTGAATTTCTAAATGTGGTACCATCATACTACTTACAACCCCAAAAGTTGCAAATCACCAGTGTTCCCAAACTCAAATCAGATGTAGAACTCCAAATCCCTTTAAAAGGAAAGAATTGGAACTTTATAATTTAGGGATTCTATTCATCTAGAAAAGCAATCCTTGGGGCCAGAGTGATAGTACAGCAGGTCGGGCATTTGCCTTGCATGCAGCCAATCTCTGGCATCCCATGTGGTCCCCCGAGCTCCCCAGGAATGATTCCTGAACATAGAGCCAGGAGTAACCCTTGAGCATCACTGTGTGTGGCCCAAAAAACTAAAAAAGAAAAAAAAATGAAAAAGAAATCCTTGGGCCTCTTTATTTATGCTAAGGTCTTCCAGACTTAATTGAATTGAGTCCTGGAGATTAGGTTTGTGGGCTGAAAAAGAGGCTGTTCATCTCATCTCTAATTTAAGGAGCATTCCTTTTGTTTATCTTTAGTATTGGCAGGCAAACCCAAGACCTTCCTCTTGGAATAAGCACAGAGTAGTAAAATCCTCTAGCAGAAAAGGTGTCTATAGATATTCCTGGCAGATCTTACTCCTGTGGAACCAACCAAATGTGTTTCACTAAACACATTTAGTGAAAGTAGAATCTTCCTGAGGAACATAATGAAATTTTAAGTAGAGATCGATGAAAATACTTTTAGATGCAAAGGCCACTGTGTATGGCTTCATTATTATGTAATTCTATTTGATGAAAAGCACACAAGGTCCAATGCTTGAATCTTTATCTCATCAATTTTATAAGCGATTCTATAAGCACCTTATTTTTATTCACCTATTTCAGATTGTTGAGTGATTCATTTTTAAGACACATATGAGAAATATTATGTTCTTGTAAGATTTCATTTTTTATTTTAAAATATTTTTTGTCTTTGAGCCACATTAGGCAGCGCTTGGGACTTACACCTTGATCTGTGCTCAGGGATCATTCCTAGTGAGGCTTGGCGGGGGGGGGGGGGGACTATCTGGGGTGCCATGGATTGAATCCAAGTAAACCACACACAAGACCAGCACCATATTTGCTGTACTATCTCTTGGGCCCTACTTGAAGATTTTAAGGTTGAATGAGGGGGGAACATGTAGAAGAGCAGAATAAATGCAAGACTCCATATTTATATCCCCCCAAAAAGGTTTTGTTGAGAAACTTATCATCACTAGGATATCTTTAAGGGACCTCTCTCTCACAAGGGAGGAAGATGAGTACTACTGAATTAAACAGAGAGGGGTCCTTAAAGGAGACAAGTAGGGACCTACTGCAGCAGTGTCTACACCACGGCCAAGGTGCTAAATACACATATTGGCTTTCAGCTGGATCCCAAAGATTGATTTACCTTCTTTCCAGTTGATTTGAAGTGTGCTGGTGCTTTTAAGACATAAACTAAGTCCTTAGACATTGTTTGTGAAGATAAGTTTGATATTTTTAAGCAAGATCCTTTGTTCTTTGGGTTGCAAGGATTGAGATGGCATGCTGTCTTCTTTATGAGGGTGCTAATCTATCAATACCACGCAATGCTTCACCATTCCGGAAGTGCTGCTCTTCCAAACATAAGGATGCCTTCCTTTTTTTTAAAAAAAAAAATCCTGTGTGTATAGATGCTGCCTCACTCATCTCTATCTATTGCTGTATAAATGAGGAATATATTTGCCATATAGGGAGCTACATACAGATAGGCTGACTGATCATTTAAAAATATAGTAATTCCTTGTTTTGCAGTAGGATCTCCAACATCAAATATCGCTGGCTAAACTAAACACACCTCAGTTCAATCAGCTGCTCTTCTGGGGGGTGGGGAGAGAGGGTGGGGAGAGGGGCCGGTTCTGAATTTCTTGGGTCTCCTAGATACTTTACCATCACAGTTTTGCCCAGTTGAATGGCTAATTGGCTAGTGACTAGGAGTTGGTCTTTGTCATGTCCTCCCCATTTTCCTCTCCCTTTTACCTTTTTCTTTGAAAGTCTGGGTCCTTCAAGTATTCACTTCACTGCTGTGGATAAACAAGCCTCACTTGAATACTACAAGTATACCAAACTTAGACTCAATGCATCATCGTTTCAAGCATGGAACCAAGAGTTCAGCGAATATGTCCACACTCTAAACCTCAACACAGCCCTTGTTCAGACCACAAGGATCTGTCAGGAATGCTTCTAATCTCCACTGTAGATAGGGATTCCTGAAGGCCTTCCCAGGAGTGATGGGCAGGCAGGAAGGGAATCCTTCAAGGGAATTCACCAAGATGTCAGGCTGCCACAAGTCCTGCTTCCTGGGCTATTCTGCATGAGCTGTTCTGTTCTGTTCTGCTGCTTCTACTGCAAGCTTTCCCACACCCAGAGCCAGAAAAAGATTTTGGTCACTCAAGGCTCAGGAAGGGAGCCCCAGCCTTTCCCCTTGTTTGGGGCATTCTCCAGTCCCTAGTGACTTTGATTGGTGGGCAAAGTTAAGATACACCCTTCCTGGGACCTTGTGTAAGATGAGAACAATCCATCCTGGGAGACAGCTGATGGCAACTACTGCCTTCCTGTGGATGGAAGAAGTACTGGAACACTGTAGCCACTGACCTAAAGACAAGGACAGCTGCTGGTGTGGTCAGAGAACACAAGGGCTCTCTAGGAAGAATTTTTTTCCCCAAAGAGCTAGATTTCCCCCCCTTACCTCTAGAGATAAAAATCAAGTTTTGTATTATTTTCCTTTTTAAAAAAAAGTTGGAAATTTTATATACAGGATCATACAAGAATAACAGTTTGACGATTTTCGTGGCCTTGATTGTGTTAATGAAGCTATTCAAAATTTCAAATAGAAAAATGTAAAGCCTTCTTCTGCCTCATGCTTAAGGGCCATCACGGGGGGCCAGCTATGCGAACAGCCAGAGGACAGTCCAGGCCAGGGCCCAGCCACCCAGTGAGTAGGGCACGATGGAGCCAGCCCTATCCTTGAGCATGCATGCCACCCTGGACCAGGAGCCATTGTTGGGCAAAGGCGTGACACCCATCACACTGCACATGACATTGTAGACATCCACTGATCTGATGGGAGCAGCTCGGAAGTTGAACTTGAAATCTGCAAGGGAGAGGCAAACAGATAGGTGGTCAGGGCCAAAGAGGACAGACAGGAAGGAACACAACAGCCTTGGGATGGTATCTTCTCTACTTCCCTGGGCTGTGTCCAAACCAATGACACCTTGGATTCAGGTCAGAAAAGGCAATGGCTCTCAAGACTGTTGGGCTGGCATTTAGTGAACCTTTGGCAGCAGAGCTGTGATGGCAGAACTTTCTAGAAGGAACTACCTGAAGTTGTTCACTTTTCCAGAGCCCTGAAGAGCAGGCATGGTCACAGGAGTCTGAATGTGCTTCTAGGCTTCCCTGAAACACATCGCATCATCCCCTTATTTTCCAGAACATACATGGAGCAGGTACTGGCTGTCAGCCCTGGTGTAGACACCTCTGCAGATGCTGCAGCATCCTACCCCACCCAGGCTGCATGGAATGTGAAAGTGTTTTCCTTGGAGCAGCCTAACTCAGTAACAACAACCATGGTTTCTTAAAGATGGTTGGAAGATCATTGGAAATTCATGGGGAGCCTTTGTCTGGCAGATAAAATTACTTTGGCATGTGAAAAGTAAGCAAACAGATTTGAAATTCTGGGGCAGGGGAAGAGGGCTCTGAGAGCTCATGGAGTAGCACCCGGGGGTGGTACAAAGTTCTGGAGCAAGGCAGTAACCAAAGGAAAAACCAAGTCTTCAGTCTGGAAAAAGAGAGAACTGCAGGAGACAGCACCAGAGACCTCTTCCCCACAAGAGGCAGAGAGATGTGGAATGCAAAGCATTGACACATAAACAGCCTCCCTATAGGCTCAGAATCAAAGCTTCCAGAAAAGACCTCCAAGCTATCTCAAGATTGAATTCAAGAAGGAGATTTTAGATTTAGCCATCAATAAAGGCTCATGTATGTGCTTTAAGACTCCTTTTTTTTTCTTAGAAAATGGGTTGTTTAGAGAGAGCAAAGCCCAGTTTCCTGCCTTAGGAAAATAATAATTATAATTACTTTGTGAAAATGATTACATACATTTCACTTAAACAAAAACCATATATCTAACAACAGAACCAAGGAGGTCCCATCACCAGGTTCCATTCTAACGTTAGCCCAGAAACAGAACCCTTGGAAAAAGTTACACAGGAATCTTGACCCAGAGTAGGAAATTAGTTCCACACTATAAGGGATAAGTTTACTCACTTGAGAGAATTAAAGTTGAATATTTAGAATAAATGATTTTTTTTTTTGCTTTTTGGGTCACATCCAGCAATTCAAAGGGGTTATTCCTGGCTCTGCACTCAGGAATTACTCCTGGCGGTGCTCAGGGGACCATATGGGATGCTGGGAATCAAACTCAGGACGGCCGCATGCAAGGCAAACGCCCTACCCGCTGTGCTATCACTCCAGCCCCAGAATAAACGATTTTTTATGGGCACTCCGTCCAGCCTCCATCCCCTTCAAGCCTGGTCACCTCAAAAACGAGTGTGTAAACAGTGCCTATTATAATTCCACGCACACTGGATGGGACTAATAATTATGAAGAATTCCCACCCCCCCCCCCAAGAGCAGACAATGGATTAAAAAACATGCCTCTTGGGTCAGAGAGAGAAAGAGTGTATAGAGGATAAGATGTTTGCCATGAAGAAACCTGAGTGCCCAAGAACAGATGACTGGTTAAAGAAACTCTGGTACATCTACACAATGGAGTACTACGTAGCTCTTAGAAAAGATGAAGTCATGAAATTTACATACAAGTGGTACAATATGGAAAGTATCATGCTAAGCGAAATGAGTCAGAAAGAGAGGGATAGACATAGAAAAATTGCATTCATCTGGGGGATATAAAGCAACAAAATATGAGATCAATACCTAAGAATAGCTGAGATCAACACCAGGAGGATTACTCCATAACTTAGAGGCCAGCTGGATATTCTAGGGGAAAGGGCAGTTCAGATAGAGAAGGGAACACCAAATGAAAGGTGTTTGGAGGATCCTCCCAGGAGGGGAAATGCATGTTGAAAGTAGACTATGGACTGAACATGATTGCCACTCAATGCCTCTTTTGCAGACCACAACACCCAAAAGGAGAGAGAGAACAAAGGGGAATGCCCTGCCACAGAGGCAGGGTGGGAGGGGGGTGGGGGGAAATGGGCACTGGTGGAGGGATGGGTATTTGATCATTGTATGACCGAAACTCAGGCACAAAGATTTGTAAATCTACAACTGTACCTCATGGTGCTTCACTAATAAAAAAATAAAAATAAAAAAAAGATGTTTGCCATGCATGCAGTTGACTTGGGTTTCATCCCTGGCACTGTGTAGGGTCCCTGAGCCTCACCATGAGTGGATGATCCCTGAGCACAGAGCCAGAAGTAAGCCCCAAGCACAGCTGGCTAGGGACCAAAATAATTGTGTTTTTAAAAGGAAGAAGAAAAGAGGAGGGAAGGAAGGAAGGAAGGAAGGAAGGAAGGAAGGGAGGGAGGGAGGAAGAAAGAGAGGGAGGGAGGGAGGGAGGGAGGGAGGGAGGGAGGGAGGGAGAAAAAAAGAAGCAAAGAAAGAGAAAAAGAGAAAGAGAGAAATAAAGAAATAGGAAAAGAGAGAGAAAGAGGGAGGGAGGAATGGAGGGAAGAAGAAAAGAAGGGGAGCAGGAAAGAAGGAAACTTTCTCCTGGGCATTATTTGTAGTTTCTTCTTTCTGCGAGAGCCAAGTAAAAAGGAGGAGCAACACTAAAAATCCATTTACAAGAACCTCCCTGGTGAGGGGAACGCTGCCGTGGGAATATGCACCTTTCTTCCCATCAAGGCAAAAGTTTAACTTCACTGCAGAAATAGCCACCCCAGGCTGAGAAACAAGAGCATCCTGGGAAGACCTGAAACCACTCCTCTCCCTCTCTCTCACCTGCCCCAGACCCAGCTGTGACGTCACACTACTGCACTCCCACCAAGTAACCCTGTCCTTGTTATGCCCAAGCCTACCCAGGGCGTGGGAATGATAGTAAACCCAAGATATCCTCCCCTACCCTCTCAAACATCTGTCTCATTGACACTTGGCAGGAAAATTTTGAGACCAGGTACTGTTGATCAAAACGTTAGGTAAGAGTTTATGTGTATTCGTGCACATTGGAAGAAAAATCATATCCAGGTCAAGTAAACTGAAAGGAGGAGCAAGTTTTATTGCTCATCCCATCTAGCTCAGGCTCCCCAGTCTGCAGTGTGGAGACTTTGGGTGGGGGGCTAGGCAGAGGGGATCCAGGCTGGGATAAGATCTTCTAGAAAATTCCTGAATGGTACCACAATTCCTGAGCCAATCTGGGAGTGCCCAGCCATACTCCCACTTGCTCCAGGTGGCCTTTGGAAGTGGGATTGGAAATCTGTGTTATTTATGTGGCTTTGAACTGTGTGGTTCCTCCAAACCTGTTTCTCCCAAAGCCCTTCGGGCTCTGGCCGCGGGCTGTCTCCTCCCAAGTGGTGCTCACTGGCAGACGGCTTGCTCAATCACACGCCTGGTGTCTTATCTTGAATGTGGAATTCTCCAGGGTAAGATTTGGTGGTTCAAATTAGAAGCTTGGATTAATGAGAGAGAGAGAGAGAGAGAGAGAGAGAGAGAGAGAGAGAGAGAGAGAGAGAGAGAGACAGAGACAGAGACAGAGACAGAGACAGAGACAGAAACAGAGAGACAGAGAGGAGGAGGAGGAGGAGGAGGAGGAGGAGAAGAAGAAGAAGAAGAAGAAGAAGAAGAAGAAGAAGAAGAAGAAGAAGAAGAAGAAGAAGAAGAAGAAGAAGAAGAAGGAAGAGAAGGAGAAGGAGAAGGAGAAGGAGAAGAAAGAGAAGAAGAAGGAAGAGAAGGAGAAGGAGAAGAAAGAGAAGGAGAAAGAGAAGGAAATGGAGGAGGAGAAGAAGGAGGAGGATAAAGAGGAGGAAGAGGAGGGGGAGGAGGGACTCCTGCAGAATGATTATTCTTTTTCTGGGCTGGCCCAGGCTTCCCAGCTCAGAAAGTCGGCTACGCCATGGCGATACCCAGTCTCCCCCAGAAGCAAGAGATCTGCACAATTAATTTGGGATGCGGGGGTGTGGGGGATGCTTCTTGAACTCAGAGTGCAGCTAGATAGTTAGGAAAGGCCTGGCTCTTAAATTTTCTCCTGAGTAAACAGTCGGTATATAAAGCTGCTCAATCTTTCACGAGAATTGGAGCCAGCCATGTGACGGTTTGCGGGGAGGCTCTCCGTGCTGTGTCTGCCTGGAAACATTTTTGTAATTAGCCCCGTCCATTTTCATCAGGGCTCAGCTTTCTGTCTATAAAAGACTCTGGCTTTTAGTTTTAAAGGCGCATGTTATGGAGGCTTTTTGTTAATGGACAAAATCTCCCCACTGAATTGAACTCGAAGCTAATGCAGCTTTGGGTACTTTGTTTAAAATTTTTGGTTGGAGGCTATATTTGCTTCTGCTTTAAAATATGCCCGAGATTCTTTTTGCTCATAAACACTCCTTCAACTGACAACTGTTTTGCATTCATGGTCTGATTCCTCTCTTCTGGGGGGAAGGAGGAGGCCAGGCTTTTGAATGAAAGCCCCGCTGTCTAATGTTCCCCGAAAAAGTCTCCAGCTCTGGAACACCGCCAGCCAAATCTTGCAGTTGACCTCAACCAAGTCCTCCGGGCTCCATCCCTAATTCAGTTAGCTTCGAGCTCTGAGGAGCTGACCTGCGCGTGACTGCAGGGGGCACGGAGAGCTATTGTTGGTTTGTGATCACAGGCCCTCCCACCCTCTGAAGCCTCTCTTGGGCCATGTTATGAACCCAGTTTGTGTGCTTGCCCCTGGCTCTGATATGGGACAAAAAATATGGACCCAAAACTGATGGCGAAGAATTTGGGCCAAACTTTTGCTGAAGCTCAGGTTCCCAGTGGTCCCCATGGCAGGTGCAGAAATGAACCTTTAAAGAACCTCCTGGTTCTTTAAAGTGTTGGAGTACCGAGTAGGGCCATCCCGACAGATGCTACTAGGTTGGCTGACATGATTATTTTCCTCGCCATGTCCGGAAGAGCAGAACCACTAGGGGTCATCTCTAACCTATAGTTTGTGAATTTTCAAGGGGGCGAAACAATTGCTCAGCTTCCAAAATCAGGGTGCTGATGGCTATGGAAGGCTTCTAGCTACAGGTCAGTACCCCCTAGCCCTGCCACCTCTGGTTTAAAGGAGGTGTGAAAACAAGCGCAGGACCTACCAAACATTTGATAAACTTTTCCAAAATGTCCCAAATGTGCTCTCTATTAACCAAAGTAACTCATCCAATCCAGCCTCCTCATCTCTGTTCTTGCCTAGCCCTGGGATATAATCTGGCTAATGAAGGCACATGATTTGCTTTCCTCTAAGATTTCTCGAGTCATGTGGGCTCATGCTGAAGGCCAGTGGTCAAGGTCACAGACGAATCCGCCCCTGTGGACATTCCAGCTTCCGCCTGGGCCCTGAACTGCAAGCACCTCCTGGGGTAGGTGCTCTGGACAAGGAGGAGCTGGGGAAGTGTGACCTGGGAAGTGACTGTGTCAACGTTGGGACTCAGCTGTCAGCAGCTTGGGGTCTGATCAACTTCTCTGGACATCAGATAGCTGTGAAATAACATTTTGATGAATTAAGTCAGGGCGGGTGGGGGGGGGGGGAGAACCACCTACATGTGGAATACATTTTCTTCACTGCACTCAAGAAATTTAAAAGGAAAAGTATTTTGACCGCATCTGCCAAACCCAAGAAGCATTTGAAAGGAAGCCAGCAAATGATGTTTCCCGGAGAGCGGCTGGCTTCACTCAGCTCCACTCATGAGGAACCCCCCAGGCCTTTGGTCGGGAGTTTGGGTCAGTCCCTTGCTTACCTGGTCCAAAGGCCAGGAAGATGCCCCTCATGTCCATGAGCTCGTTGTCATACCCGTGCCATCCATGCTGCCAGCCTTCCCGCTTGCCGGTGCTGTTCATCCAAAATGGCAGTGAGTCTCGACTCTGAAACGAACCAGGGAATGATGTTGGAGCAGGCGCCAGAGGTTGCCATGGGGGACTGCCCACTGTGGGGGTGGCCAGTCTCAGTGCTCCTGATCATCCACCCTCAGCTGGATGGCTACTGCTCCCGCCAGCCCAGAGCTTCGGGGAGAGCGAGGTCTATTGCTAAAAGGTTCGGCAGGTTGATGAATTAAGTCAGGGCAAGGGGCGGGGTGAGAACGTTTTTGTTGATTTCATTTGGGGGCCACACCTGGCAGGGATCATAGGTTACTCGGCTGGAGCAAAAGCACAGTGGTAGGGCGTTTGCTTTGCATGCAGCCAACATGGTTGACCCGAGTTCGATTCCTCCACCCCTCTCGGAGAGCCCGGCAAGCTACCGAGAGTATGTCGCCCGCACGGCAGAGCCTGGCAAGCTCCCCGTGACGTACTCGATATGCCAAACACAGTAACATCAAGTCTCACAATGGAGACGTTACTGGGCCCGCTCGAGCAAATCGATGATCAACGGGAGGGCCTTTACTTTACTTTACTTACTTACTTACTTATTTATTTGATTAAATCACAGTGAGATAGAGCATTACAAACTTGTTCATGACTGCGTTTCAGTCCTACAATGTTCCAACACCCATCCCTTCACCAGTGTAATTTCCCAGCACCAGTGTCCCCTAGTTCCTTCCCACCCTTAAGCCACCCAACCCCCCACCCCAGCCTGCCTCTATGGCAGGCACCTCCTTTTCTCTCTCTTTCTCTTTCTCTCCCTTATTTTGGGCTTTATGGTTTGTGATAAGATGCTGAAAGGTTATCATGTATATCCCTTTACCTGCTTTCAATACTCAGATCTAGTCCAGAGTGACCATTTCCAGCTAATGTTGTCATAATGTATCCTCCTCTATCGTAACTATCCATCTCCCACACCACTGACCCACTGCTGACCAGTCCTCCACCACTGACCAGTACTCCTGGTCCATTTTCCCTGGCATTGGATACTAGTGTCACACTATTTTGTTTTGTTTTATATACCAGGGGTTACTCTTGGTTCTACAGTCCGGAATTACTTCTGGTGGGGCTCAGGGGACCATATGGGATGCCAAGAATCAGACCCAGATCAGCTGTGTGCAAGGCAAACACCTTATCTGCTGTATTCTCTCTCCAGGTCATTTTTTACCTAGAGCTAAATTCTCCATCTATTTTAGAGCCACCTAGAGAGTATGAGAGAGACCCAGTGATGGAGACAAAGAGCTCTGCCCAGTCTTTGTTCCTGCTTCCTGATCTAGGACACCTAGATCCCTGGCAATTCTCTGCACCAAAGAAGTGTCTTAACCCTTAAAAAAAAAAAGGACCTGGCTTTCCCCCATTCCTGAGTAGATGCTAATGTCCAGAATGGGGGTCCAGGGCTTTGGGATGGGAGCTTTCCTCTGCAGCTGGGTGCTGTCATACCTGTGTGTGGACATCCTGGAGGAGAGGGGAATGTGAGCTAAGTGCCGTGCATTTAGTAAGTGCTTAATAAATAGCCATGGGTTGGCCATAGGTGGGCCAGAGCTGGGCAGCAGGGCAGTGAGAGTATGAAGGCTGTTGCTCTCTCCAGATCACCTCATTCCCACATCACCACCTTGCCCAGCCCCGTCTGGCCCTGGGCTTTCCCCTTAAATTTCAGCCGTACACCTTTGAGCACCCTCCCCCCATGTCCTGCACCTCCAACATCCCCTGTGTACCCCGCCACGCATGTGTTTTTCCAGGGCAATGGCTTGAATTCTTTTCCTGCATGCTGCCCTGTGATAAAGTTCAGGGTTCTGGATCTGTCTCGGGTGCTGATCGCAGCTCCGTCCTGATTTAGCTTCATCGGTTCCTTTAATGTGTTGCCTCGCTCACACCAGCAGTGAGGCGGCCGTTGTTCCTAAAGTGCCAGGTAGACCATTCTGTAACTGTCACTTGCAACGCTGAGCCCTGTCCAACACGTGCGTCCTGCCACAAAGGCGTGGGGCCAGGACAGAGGAAGACTGGCACCTGGTGTGCAAATTGCTGTTGAAATTTCACAAGCACCAACTCTCAACAATGAAAATCTCAGGCCTAAGGTGATGGGGGACTGGAGGGGAGGAGTCTTATTTGATCCCACATAAACCCACTTGCTTTCACTGAAATGGTAAGCACCCCCCCTCCAAACCAACTGTTCTTGTGGATTTAAGAGAGATTGAAAAAGACTATCCTGAGTGGTGTGTGAAAGCAAAGTGTTTTCCTCTAAGTGATACGTGAACTTTCCTAGGGACCCTGCCTTGGGATGGTGAGGCTTCTCGTGTTCTTCCTTCCATACTGGGTTTTGGGTTCTCTGTGCTCACATTCTGTTTCTGAGCACATACGTGTGGAGCCACATCCAGCAAGAGTGTCCAGAGGGGGAAGCTATGATACTGCCTGAGGCTGGGAGGACTGGTCAGTGGTTGGAATCTACCACAAGTGTGTGTGGGGCAGAGGGTAGGTAAGATAGAGAAGGGACTAATGTGACAATAATAGTTGGAAATGATCGTGCTGGACAAGGACTGAGGGTTAAAAGTAAGTAAAGGGATATACACAACAACCTTTGAGTATCTGCATTGCAAACTACAATGTGTGTGTGTGAGAGAGCGAGCGAGCGAGCGAGAGAGAGAGAGAGAGAGAGAGAGAGAGAGAGAGAGAGAGAGAAGAAAAGTGCCTGCCATAGAGGCAGGTGGGAGAGGGGGCAGTGATGGAGGGTGGTGATCGGAGGGAGTCTGGGGGTCTCTAAAAGTAAAGTAAAAGTAAAGGCCCTCCCAATGATCATCGATTTGCTCGAGCGGGCCCAGTAACGTCTCCATTGGAGACTTTGTTGTTACTGTGTCTGGCATATGGAATACTCTCGGTAGCTTGCCGGGCTCTCCGAGAGGGGCGGAGGAATCGAACTCGGGTCGGCCATGTTGGCTGCGTGCAAGGCAGACGCCCTACCCGCTGGTCTCTGGTGCTGGGAAATGTACACTGGTGGAGGAATGGGTGTTGGAACCCTGTATGACTGAGGCCTAATTATGAACAGCTTTGTAAGGGTCTGTCTCAGCTTGTGATTCAATTTTAAAAATCTATTAAAAAATAAAGTAAAATAAAATAATGCCTGAGGTCTGCATTCCCGTATTGAGACCCTGCCAGGCAAGGGACTGCCACAGAGCGCCACCTAGTGGTGCCTTCCCCTGGGTAGTGCCGTATGTGTGTGTGTGTGTGTGTGTGTGTGTGTGTGTGTGTGTGTGTGTGTTTGCAGAGGAAGTGGGTCGAGTCTTATATGAGAATCCCTGTGAATCGGAACATGACTGTGTGCATGTGTGCATGTGAGTGTAGACATGTAGGTCAGGTGTTTGTGTGTGTATGAATGAATATTGGGTGTATAAATGGATGTCCATTTATGAATGTCTGTGGATGAATGTGTACATCTATGTATGTCTATAGACATTCACGGGTAGATGACTGTGTATGAGTGTATGAGGGTGTCACATGTGTGTAGGTCTGTATGTCTCTGTGGTTTGCTGTGGATATGTGTGTGGATGTGTGGAGGAAGTGGGTGGAGGATGTGTGTGGCAGAGAGCTGATGGGTGTTTGGATGTGGTATGAGTGTGGGGGTGAATGTGTGTGGATCAGTGTGCAAGTGGGTATGGATGTGTGAGTAGATGAGGCAATGCTCATGTGAGTGGGTTTATCAGTTGGAGTGGATGTGAGGATGTGTGTGTATCTGTGTGTGTGTGAGTGTGTGTGTGTGTGTATACATGTGAGTGGATGAATGTACCAGTGTGTGAGAGGATGTGGACGTGTTAGTAAGTGTGGTAGGTGGGATGAATGTGGACGTGAGCACCGTTGGGAGTGACTGTTCTGGACCCTATGAGGTAGTTCGCCACATGCCACTACCATGACCCGCCTGCTCTCCTCTCGCCCTGACTCAGGAGTCTGTGGGCTCCTTTCTGCCCTCCTCTGACGCCGGAAATCCAGACGATACATGGACCTGAAAACAGGAGGGCCCAACGGCAAACAAGCAAGGGCTGCACAGAGAGGCAGCACCCTGCGGAGGGAGGGATGCTGGTGGGGGAGCCAGGGCAGTGAGGGGTTCTTTTCCTTTCCCTGGATCTCACTCATGGAAGAGTGCCAAGGCTGAGGAGGCACGTACCACTCAGTGCCACGGGCCCAGGGAGGAGCATGAACCTGAACCCGTTCAAGGAAGAGCTCAGAGAAGGCTTTTCGGTGGGCGTGGTCTTTGGGAAACAGGAAGTAGGGGGCTTGAGTCGAAAGTCTTTTCCTTCCTTCCTCCTTCCTTCCCTTCCTCCCTCCCTCCCTTCCTCCCTCCCTCCCTCCCTCCCTCCCTCCCTCCCTCCCTCCCTTCCTTCCTTCCTTCCTTCCTTCCTCCCTTCCTTCCTTCCCAGGGATACTTAGGAGACCCAGGGCTGCCCAGCTGATTCACAGCTGACTAGCCCATGGTTCAACGCCCAGACTGAGGGTTCTGTGCTGCTCGTATCCAGTGGTGCTGGGGATTATCGGGGCCACCCCAGCAGAACTTGGGAACTCCCACATTATCCCTTTGGCTTGAAAGCCCTATTTGTTATCCTTAAAGAAGGGAGCTTGGCAGGGGGTTGGAGAAGTGCCTGGACATGGCCTCTTCCTGCTCTCATCCTGGGTCAGAGCTCTTCTGCTTTCTGTCCCTGAAGAAGGGGAGGCCAGAGAAAGCACTGGCTGCAGTTGGGAATCTTGACTCTACTGATTGATTGATTGATTGATTGTTTGATTGAATTGTTTTGAGGTCACACCCAGCAGGGCTCAGGGGCTATCCCTGGCTCTGTGCTCAGGAGTGATCTCTACAGATGCTAAGGGAAGAAAGAGAGGGGATGAGATAAGGGCCAGGAATGAATCGAGGTCGATCACATGCCACGTAAATGTCTTAACCCCTTGGACTATCTCTCTATTCCACTGAATTTCCATCGTGCAGGAGCAGAGGAACCTTGAGCGAGCCCGTCTAATGCCTCCTGCCCAACCTCTGTCTCCTCCCATGGCTGCTTCCACAGTAACTCCAAGGAAAAGGGAATTCTGCCTGGTCTTATTACAGCAGCTTCTCTGATTCGGCCACTCCTTGGGTCCAAAAAGTTGCCCCTGTTTTGGAAAAGGCTTTCCCCCCTCCCCCGGAGGTCAAGCCATGCCTGGATGTAGGATGCAGCTGGATGGAGAGAGGAACTGGGGATCAGTTTTATTGGCCTGTCCCCCGCCCCGACATCAGCACCCACTGACACTCTTTTGCTTTCTTAACCTTATCTAAAACAAAACAATCAGACCCCCCCAAACAGAACAAAAATCCCTCCTCTGCTAGCATACAGGGCCCCAGAGAGACTGCTTTGGGGGATGAGAATGTTGCAATACACTACAATGTGGGGTGCAGTGATACATAGGTGAAGGAACAAAACCTTCCTTCATCACTAAGTGGGGTGGCGTTGTGCAAGCAGGAAGGGGGGGAGTGAGCAGCCTCTGTCTCGGCGCTTGGCCAAGGACAGAGAAGCAAGTTTTCAACTCTCGGTGGCGGAGGAAGTAAAATAAACAACACAAAGATGTCCAGGAAAACAACAGCCTCTGGTGAGCAGGAATGGGAAGGGCGCCGGTTATTTAGGGTTTTCAGGAAAAAATTAAAGCAAAATGTCTGAACCAAATAAAACTAGAAGTGATCATTTTGATGTATGGCTTATAAAAGTAAAAAGCTGGGGGCTGGAGAGATAGTACAGTGGGAGGGCGTTTGCCTTGCACGTGGCCAACCCAGGTTCGATCCCCAGCATCCCATATGGTCCCCCAAGCACTGCGAGGAGGAGTAATTCCTGAATGCAGAGCCAGGAGGAAGCCCTGAGCATCGCTGGGTGTGACCCCTTCCCCACCAAAAAGAAATAAACAAATAAATTTAAAAAAAATACAAAAAAACTAGGGGCTTGAGCTATAATATAATGAGTAGGGCACTTGCCTTGCACACAGTCGACCTGAGTTTGATCCCCAGCACCTCATATGTTTCCCTGAGCACTGCCTGGAGTGATCCCTGAGTGCAGAGCCAGAAGTAAAGTAAGGCCCGAGCATCATCCCAAAAGCAGGGGGTGGGGGGAAGATTTTAAAAAGCCACAAAAGCCACCTCAAGGGGCTGGGGTGGGAGGCTTGAGAGATAGCACAATGAGTAGGACATTTGCCTTGCACGTGGCCCACCCGGGTTCGATTCCCAGAATCCCATATGGTCCCCTGAGCACCGCAAGGAGTAAATCCTGAGTGCAGAGCCAGGAGTAACCCCATGCATCGCCAGGTGTGACCCAAAAATCAAAAGAAAAGGGGGGGCTGGGGTGATAGGGCTGATATCTGGCACAATTTCACCTACCAATCCATTTACTTGTTGCTCCCATTCAGAGGTTTTTCTACAAGTAAGTAATCCATGTCCTCCTTGGAGAGTGCAGAGATGTGTACAGGGATTTTCCTATTGGGTGGGCTGTAAGTGGCATGTGCAGGGAGGGGAGGAAGAGGGAATCCCACACTGGTTCCATCTCAGAATCTGGTCCAATATCCATGCTCAGACAAGCCAGAGGCAGGTGGCCAGGGTCATCTGGGGATGAGACCATTAGGATTGACCCCAAACTGCAAGCTAATCCCCTCTGTAAAATCCAGTTGGTCAGCGAGGGGACCTTGGTCTAGAGAGTTCTGTTTGCCAGAACGTTTGTTTTAAAGAGAAACCTGGCCTGGCCTTTCAATGCCCCAAGGCAAGTGTTCTGGGTCACAGTAATTGTTTCACTTCAAAACCGAATAGACCGTAAACCTGGGTCTTTAGGCTAAGACCTATTTGTGAAAATGCAGCAAGTCTGGGGTCCGGACAGATCCATGACATGGTCCTGGCTACAGTCTGTGACTGCAAAGTCGCCTGACCTTAACAGACTTGGATTTTTCAAAGAAGCAAAGAATGCAAGAACCAGGGCTCGCCAGAAAATGAAATTGCTGAAGAGGGAAAGCCTCTTGGCTCGCATTTCTCTTTGGGACGATTGGCTATCATTTACGGAATGAGTGAATCATCTGTTTTCTCATTACCTCTGTGATGAACCATCCTTCATCGGCCACTAAGGTCAACGGAGAGACAAACTTCCCTTTCTTGTAGTAGAACCTGCCAGGTATGGCGTCTTTCTCATAGACGGTCATATGCCCCACGGCTCGCAGCTGGTTGTATATCTGCAGTGGGAAGCAACGAGACAGCTGTTTGTTCTCTTTCTCACACACGGGTGAAGATTTATTGGACCTGGGAAGAAAGGGGGTGAGCCAAGGAATCTCCCAAGTACTGCATAGCTCAATCAACATCAAGGTGAGAAATTGGGGCCAGAGAGTTAGTACAGGAGATAAGGCACTTGGTTTGCACACACCTGACTCCAGCTAGATCCCCAACACCACATATGCCCTCCCTGAGCATCCCTGGGAGTAGTCCCTGAGCCCAGAGCTAGAAGTAATCCTGGAGTACCACTGGGGGTGTGGCCCATTAATTTCCCAAATGAAAATTAATGAGATATTTGTATTCTTCAGGAAATAAGGTGTTTTAATAAAACTGAGGATATCCAAAGTTCAAGGTCTAATAAGTTAATGCCTGGAGACAAAGTGGGAGGCCCTGTTCATGGGTTAGAGGGATAAATGGCACACAGAGAAACAGCTCACATGCCCTGTGTGTTCACAAAATAAATGAGGGGCTGGAGCGATAGCACAGCGGGTAGGGCGTTTGCCTTGCACGCAGCCAACATGGCCGACACAGGTTCGATTCCCTGCATCCCATATGGTCCCCCGAGCACCACCAGGAGCAATTCCTAAGTGCATGAGCCAGGAGTAACCCCTTTGAATTGCCGGGTATGACCCAAAAAGCAAATAAATAAATAAATAAATAAGTGAGTGGTGGCGGTGGTGGCATGGTCTCTCTCACCTGCCACGTGCATTCAATGGCCCTGTGCCACTTCCCCATCCCAGCCTGCCACTGCCGTCAGCAGACACAGGAAGGAGGGAACGGGGCTGCCAGGTTTGTCGGGGATCAGTTGCCATTTATTCCATCCTCCCCGTGTGCCTGTTCCAGTCTCACTAAGTGCCCCATTCTAGTCTCACGCTGCCCCTCATTCCCGTCTCCTCCTGTCCCCCATGCTAGTCTCTCTTTTCCCTGTGCTCCATCTTGCCACCTTAGTCTAGAGCCCAACATTTCAGGATTGGGGGAGCAACTACACCCAGTCGAGGTAGCACAATCAACATATGTAAAGCCCTTCCTTCAGAAGGAAGCTCTTCTAAGATAAGACAAAGATCTCCTGCAGCTATTAGATCTGCTCAAGGGCAAAATACCACCTAGGGGTGTGTTTCTCCTTTCCTTAGTCCAATAACCACTTAAACATTCATCTTAATTCTACTTCTTAATGTCCATACTTTTTTGTGCGTTTTGTACGGATACAGTCACCATCCTCCTCCCATCGTTCATCGATTTGCTCGAGTGGGCCCAGTAACGTCTCCATTGGAGACATTGTTGTTACTGTGTTTGGCATATCGAATGCATCATGGGTAGCTTGCCAGGCTCTGCCGTGCGGGCGAGATACTCTCGGTAGCTTGCCGGGCTCTCCGAGAGGGGCGGAGGAATCGAACTCAGGTCGGCCATGTTGGCTGCGTGCAAGGCAAATGCCCTACTGCTGTGCTATTGCTCCAGCCTTATGGATACAGTAAGGGATACATTAAGCTTGTAGGTTGGCTCTCCTGGGAACATCTCGCTATAGCTCTCAGACTACAGTGCTCAGGCCAGATTAGTCTTTCCTAACCTTAGCAGGGTCCTAATCCCGTTGTTATTCTTTGGATCATGACAGAATTTGTCCATGACCGTGCTCTTAACTTATAGTTAAGTATTATGGCACTTAACCTGGCCTGTTTCGATACCAGGGTAGCTCACAGCTTGCTCTGGGTCCATGCAGTCCCTCCTTGGGACCCTGCTTTTGGGGTGCTAGGAACTAAGGGAAACTGAGGCTTAATTCAAGAGACTAGATTCCCAGGAGTAAATATTATTCAGAGTCAATTAACTCCCAAGTTACAAAAGCATAGCATTAACTGTATTCCTGTATCTATACAAAAAGGACATTGCTTTGAAGTAAACTATGCAAAAGGACATAAGGGGAGGAGAAAAACGATATTTCACTTACAAATACAAAATCAGAAATTTCTGAGTAATTTGACTTTACAAGTCATAGGTACTGTTTAGGGAAAATGGGTGATTAACCGGTTGGGGAAGAGAGGACAGAGAATTTAAAGATAAACACAGAGGAATGAGAGCACTGTGATGGGTGCAACCCAATAAACCTAAGCTCCCTGCGGCCAGGGACAAACCAATGTTATTCTACAATGCCCAGTAAAGGTGGAAGGGAAAAATGGATCATGGCTTGATTTTGTCATGAAATACCATCACTTAATCACTTAATCACTTAATCCCCATTATTCATCGATTTATTCGAGCGGGTGCCAGTAACGTCTCCATTCATCCCGGTTGCGTGCTAGCGTAGCCCAATGGTATCTGTTCGTTTTAGGAACATGTAGAGCCTCAAACCGATCATTTAGGGTCTTGACGAAGAAGTCTGACCATCTTATAGGTGGCCGTCCACGTGATCTTTTGATGTCTCGTGGAATCCAATCAGTAATGGCTCTAGTCCAGCGGTTGTCTGTAAACCTCATTACGTGTCCAGCCCATCTGATTTTTGATGTCTTGGCAAATGAGACAGCGTCCCTGATTCTTGAGCGTTGACGAAGATCAGAACTCCGGATTCTATCTCTCATTTGAGTGAATCGTGATATTCCAAGCATAGTTCTTTCGATTCCTCTTTGAGAGACCCGAATAGTGTTCTCATCCTGTTTTCGTAGGGTCCAGGTCTCTGAGGCATATGTTAATGCAGGAAGAATAGTGGAATCAAAGAGATGTGCTCGTAGCTGGAGGTTCTTTGTCCTTTTAGTTATTTCTTCAATGCTCTTGAAGGCATTCCAAGCCGCTCTCTTCCTCCTGCGCAACCCAGGTGCCAGGTCATTCATCATGTTGATTTCTCGACCTAGGTATATATAACTGTTGCATTCGGAGATGGTGGTTCCGTTGAGAGCGAATGGAGCGTCAGGAACAAGGCTGTTTCTCATAAACATTGTCTTCGCAAGATTCAGCTGTAGTCCGACCTTTCCACATTCACGGTCAAAGTCGTTCAGCATTTGTGCCGCTTGGTTGATGTTTGGTGTTATTAGAACGATGTCATCAGCAAAGCGGAGGTGGTGTAGTTGTCGACCATCTATCTTCACTCCCATGTTTTCCCATTCCAGCCGTCGCATGATGTTCTCAAGGGTGGCACTGAAGAGTTTTGGTGAAATGGTATCACCCTGCCGAACCCCTCTCTTGATATGGATGATTACTTCTTTGTAGAATGGTGAGATCTTGGTAGTGAATCCGCAATAGAGCTCACGAAGGATCCTGATGTATTGAGTTTGTACGCCCTGATTGGCTAGGGCTTCTATGACCGCTTCCGTCTCAACAGAATCAAAGGCCTTCTTTAAATCAATGAACGTTAGACAGAGTGGCATCTTGAACTCCCGAGATACCTCAATGAGCTTGGTTACTGTGTGGATATGGTCGATGGTACTGAATCCTTTTCGGAATCCAGCTTGTTCACATGGTTGTCCTTCATCTAGTGTTCTGCTAATCCTATTCAGGATGACTCGAGTGAATAGTTTGTAGATGACAGACAATAGGCAGATTGGGCGATAGTTGCCAATGTCGTGGATGTCTTCTTTCTTGTATAGTAGTACAGTCTTGCTGGTTTTCCATTGGGATGGAACCTTGCATTCAGACAGGTAGCGTGTGAAGAGTCGAGCCAATGTATTGATGAGTACTGATGGTAAGTTCTTCAGGTGTTCAGGTCTGATCTTGTCTGGGCCAGGTGCTCTTTGTTTCTTTACAGACGAGATGGCATGTTGGATTTCGGAAGGGAGAACATTGGGAACGACATATCCATCATGTGGTATGTGGTATGTGGGCAAGTGGATGTGGCTATTAAAGAGATCTGAGTAGAAGTCATGAATAATCTTCTCCATTGCCCTTCTGGAAGATGTGATAGATCCATCATGATGTCGGAGGGCAGTCATCTTGGTTTTGTAGTTGGTGAAGGACAGGCGGGCATTACGAATGTTTTTTCCAGCTTCTGCTGCATCTACCAGTACTGCTGCTCTCCTGTTTTTGAGGTCATCCTTGATGGCTTCTCTGCACTGTTTTGCCAGTTCGGACGTTTGCTTGTGGTTGCCTGAGGCACGTGCCAAGTCACGTTGGCGAATAAGTTCAAGAGTGTTCGAAGAAAGACGGTTTTTTGTGGTTATCTCTCTCTTGGCATTCCTTGCACAATCATGGAGGTGCTGAATCATTCGATCGTATTCCTCATCAATGTTGTCAATGACGGCATCTTCCCATGTTGCCGCAACAGAGCCAAAGAGTTCCCAGTTGGTGGTTGTTCTGGGAGTCCTCTTCTTAAACCTTGCATTCTTTTCTCCTCGTTCTGTGAGGTAGAATTTTGCACGAAGAAGACGGTGGTCTGATCCCGTTTGGAATTTTGGGACAACAGCAACATCGGTTAGGCAAAACCGCCGATTGAATATGATGTGGTCTATTTCATTGTGGAACCGTCCATCGGGAGACTCCCATGTCCAACGTTTAGATTCAGCCTTTTGGAATTGTGAGTTACCATGGAAGGTTTTGGTTGACATGATGAACTCAGACAGTCTGTCACCCTGTTCGTTCCATTCCAGGCCATGGGTTCCAATGTGGAGTTCATCGACTGATCTTCTTGGTCCTATCTTGGCATTAAAATCACCGACAATGATCTTGTAGAAGGTGTGATCTTCTTTATAGAATTTCTCCAGCTCCATGTAGAATTTCTCAGTTTCTCTTTCACCATAACTGGATGTTGGTGCATAGACAACAAAGATAGAAACTGCCGGTAGTGAGCCACATTTATTCAAGTGTAATCGTCCGATTCGGGTTGTTAGGCATTCAAATGAATCAATGCTCGTGACTAAGTTTGTGTTGACAAGGATACCGACACCACCCACGCCTCTTTTATCACATGTTCCAAGGAACAGTTCTTCTCCAGTGTCGAAAACAGCATGATGGAATTGATGTCTTCTCGTTTCGGTCAGACCAATGATGTCGTACTTGATCTTTCGTGCTTGTACCATAAGGTCTTCAATGTATGAAATACCATACAGTCATGAAAAATAAGATTTTCAACTCTGAAAGTAGCTGAACTATAGCCACAGGAATACCCAGCTGCCACAATCTCCAGGAACACTAAGTCTAAAGGGAGTAAGTTGTAAATGGATTATGTCTATTACACAAGGTTGGAGTAAGTACAAAACTGAGTAACATCCATGGTAAAGAAGTGATGACTCAGGATTTAGTCAGCAGTTCCCTTGGCGGAGACAGAAAAGGTGAGGGGATCTGTAGCAGGAAATTGCTGTATCTCTTATGCCTGGTGAGCATAAAGCAATCCTCTACAATGTCACGCATCACAGCTTACACAGATTTCAGAATACCATTGGGTTATTCTCATGGGTCATTCAATAATAAGATAACAAATGAAAATAATTATGTCCAAAATGATAAATAAATGCCAACAAATCCAAAGAAAGAGAATTTGTTCTTGCCTTGACCTAAAGCATATCCTACAAACACTGGACTCTTAAAAGTACTAGGACTTGTTTGCCATGCATTAATCCAACATTTCTTGATGAAGATGCAAATACCGTCTGTTATTTCCAAGATTTAGCAGCAGCTTAACTGTTAATGGTGAAAATGAAAATCAATGGGCAGAAGTTAATTTGATGGCCTTTTGCCAAATAAAATTCCTGGAGAGAATAGAATATAAAATTGAGTCAATGAACTGGACTCTGACAAATCATTCTCCTCTGGACTCTTTAGACAAGGGGGTCCCGTAACCCCAGGCATTACAATTTCCTACAGAAGAAAACCCCAAGTTTTTAAGGGAAGTAATGACATTTGCAGAGGGTGTGGGTACATGGAAAAGCTAGTGACATACCCCAGGCCCACAAACTCTTGTGTCCTTCACATGCTGTACAACAAACATAGCCCAAACACATCCTCCGCTTTTGAATAATCAACCAACTGCTTTTAGCAGCTTGCAATAGCCTAACTTAAAGGCTATGCTGGGGAACTCAGCTCAGCCCAGAATTTGCTTTGGCATCGATATTCTGGAGCCCATTTGCTCTGAAGCACGAGTCGAATTAGCAAGTGACCTGCCTTTCCAGGAAAACAAAACATTCATGCAAGCAGCTATGTGCTGAGGTCAGGAGAGAGTTAGTCAATGTCTAAGATTTTCTTTCTACTTTAATATTTAGGGATATCTTCGTGGAGCGATAGCACAGCGGTAGGGCGTTTGCCTTGCACGCAGCCAACATGGCCGACCCGAGTTCGATTCCTCCGCCCCTCTCAGAGAGCCCAGCAAGCTACCGAGAGTATCTCGCCCGCACGGCAGAGCCTGGCAAGCTCCCCGTGATGTATTCGATATGCCAAACACAGTAACAGTAAAGTCTCCAATGGAGACGTTACTGGGCCTGCTCAAGCAAATCGATGATCAACGGGAGGTCCTTTACTCGAGCAAATCGATCTTCATGGTAACCCCATGTAGATAAGTTCAATGCTTCCACTGAGCAAAAATAAGAGAGCCATCACCAGTGATTGGACCGTGGGTGAAGAAAAGCAGCAAGATTGACAATAGGGTTTCTTAGAACCCCCCGCACCACCACCCCCCCCAACAGATTTTAGAGTATGGAATGGAGGTGAGCAGAGCCAGGAGGAAGCTTTTGTCTCTGGGCCAGACAGGAGACACCTTGACTGTCTCCAGTGCTTCATCAACACTATCATGGCCTCGTCAATGGCGTCACAGCTGAGGAGATGGAGGGGAGCTGTCTCAGACCCTGGCACCCTGTCATTGGCCTTCCCATGGCAGCGTGTGGGCGTCCCCCACAGAAGATGTTAAGGAAACTGTCAGATTAGCTGGTGGGTCTGTAGTCATGCCTGGAGCTGGTTGTAAGTCTAGCGAGCTTCTCTGTCCATCTCTTAAATACACAAAGACCCTGAGACACACCAAGGCCCAGCCACGCACAAGCCAGAGCAGATATGTGGGAACGAGTTTAGGAGCTGCCCCCAGTGATGGCAGAGCTCCCTGCATTCTGCATGGGTCTGAGGTCAACCACGGTGCGTCCTCAGCCCTCTACTCATCCATCACCACCCCAGCTTCTTTAAAGATGGGGCGAAGAGGGAGGGTAGCACACCTTGCAGTGCTCAGAGTCTTGTCCTGACTCAGGAGTCATCTCCCCTGTGCTCAGGAGTGACCCCTGGTAGTGCTTGGGTGACCATCAGTGTGTGTGTGGAGGCGGGGGTTCCAGTTGGGGTTGGCCTCATGCAGCACGCCCCTTAACCCCTGTCCTCTCTCGCCAGCCCCATCATCATCTCAGGTTTCCTGATGAAAGCGAAGCCAACTGACAATTCTCTTCCAGAGAAAGAACCTTCTGGGGCTTGGAGAGAAAATACAGTGGGGAACGCACTTGCCTTGCACAAAGCAGACTCAGGTTCAATCCCTGGCATATTGTATGGTCCCCTGGACACTGCTGGGAGTAAGCCCTGCATACCAACAGATGAGCCCCCCGCAAAAAAGAGTTTTCTAAGTAAGTCCCCTCAAATCCTCAGATTTCCTTTGAAGTGATGCATTCCGGCCAGTAGTAGAAGAGCTCCCATTCTCTTTTGGTTTGGGGGCCACCCCCAGCAGTGCTCAGGCCTTACTCCTGGGTCTGTGCTCAGGGATTACTCCTGACAGTGCTCAGGAGCCCAGATGGGGTGCTAGGGATGGAACCCAGGTCAGCCATGTAGAAGACCTTAACCCTTTTGCTCTCTCTCTCTGTCTCCAAGAGGATTTAGAAAATCCTTTCTAAAGGATTTCACATGTGAAACCCTGTACATCTCCTGTCCCATTTAACTCTCTTAACCTCCACCGAGGCAGAGACTTGGGCTCCATCTGGGAGGCTCGAGAGGAGGAACCAGAAGGCAGGGATCTGCAGCTGTTCACGCAGAATCTAAGGGCTCATCAGAGCTTCCAGGGAAAGAAGACAACTCCAAGAGGGGGTGAAAGAGGGTGCTCTGGGGTCCCCCGCACCCTCCCCCACCAGAACACCTCTTGCCTCTGCATGCTTCCCAGGAGCTGGCCACAGGCTGACGACAGGGCCTCGGTCCTTCACTTGCTGCACGTCATTGAAGTTGACGTATTTGTTCAACTCGATCACTTGGTCCATCCAGAAAATGTCCGTCATCCCATGGTCTGAGAAGATAATGACGTCAAGGTCGTCCTGCAGGTCCCGTTCCTGTGGGTGGACAAAGATGGTCACGATGACCCCAGGGACCTGCTTCTGCCCTGGAGAGACACAGCTCTAATGCCCAGCAGAAGTTTTGGGGACAGGGACACAACTGCTTGCACACAGCCGCTTCCAGCCAGAACATGGTACATCAGGCCTTTGGCCTTTGAGCCACACTCTCTATTGTCACCTCCTTGGCCCTTCCCACAACCTCCAGAGCTCATAGTTTTCCTGCCACTCACCCATGCTACAGACATAGAACATACAGTCCCGCTGACTTAGAACCAGAACAGCAACAACACCCTTCCCGCTGGGAACTGAAAAGCAGAAGACAAAGGCGCTGATGAGATGCTCAGAGAATGGGACTTGGGCTCACTGTGTGAGGAGGTGCAAACCCCATGAAATATGGTCTGGAGATTCCTCCTATAAAGAAACAAGGAGGTTCTCTGTGATCCAGTAGGACCATGGCAGATAATCACCCCCTGGAGACTGAGTCTTGAAACTGCAAGGACATTTTCATGCCCGTGTTCCTCACAGCCTGATCCACAAATACTCAAATATGGGACCCACCAAGGACCTACAAATGGCTGGAGAGAGAAATTCTGACATGAGGACCCCATTGAGCACTCCCTGGCCATTAGAGGAAGATAAAAGTCATCCTCCTCCACTCCACGGGTGGAACTGGAGAGGTTGAAGCTCATGGAAATGATCAGGAAGGGAAAGACAATTCCCAGGTGATTTCTCTCATTGGCGAAATGCCAATAACCGAAGCAAATGAACAGGCCAACAAAGAAGTCTACAGACTCTGAAAACTAGAGTGGTTGCCACAGGGATGGCAGAGGGAGGCAGGGGAGGAGTGAGGGAGCCGTTTTGATCCTTGAATGGTGCTGGCGGTTTAGTGCATATGTCTCCAAATCATTCAGCAAAGGGGTGGCAGAGTCAGGGAGAGACATGGTCCAACTCACAGGCGCACACAGCTGACAGACTTGTTCTGAAGTGGGGAAAGCTCTGGGCCACTTCCCAGCTCTGCCAGAGAGTACCATGGGCATGGAAATGTTTCCCAAGCCCACAAGGACCTCGGCGCCTGAAAAGGCTCTGGCCTCCACTGAAAGAGAAGCCATGGCTGAGGGGCCGCCCAGTCAGGAAGACAGCAGGGACCCTGAGGGAAAGGGAAGCCCCGAGGCTGAGTTCACCTGGATCCACTTGGTCATGTGTTGCAGGACGCTGTCCACGGCCACCATGGCGTCCTTCCTCTGCCGTGATGAAGGGCCGTAGTGGTGGCCTTCCACATCGATGCGCTCATGGTAGATGGCCGCCAGGTCAGCCCGGCCACTCCTGGAGGATCAGGGGGAGATGCGGCTGAGGCGGCTTCCAGTCAAACGGTTTCTGGGAAGCCACAACCCCCTCATGCCTGAACCAGGGGCCAGGCGAGAGCTGACGTCAGCATCTCCCTTCCTGAGCTCCAAGGGGACCCCGTGCTGTCTCTCCTGGGGTGGGGGATGGACCCACAGGCTGGGGTTGGTTTTGAGCATGCCTGGAGTCTGGGAAGGGACCACCACCTCCCCGTCACCTTTCCTGCCCCTTCGTGAGTGGAGCCTCTGCAGGGGAGCAGTGAAGCCCTGAGCAAGGGTCTAAGTGCCAAGAATGAGATTCTGTCCCACCCCACAGGCTCACAGTCAGGGTCTGACATCAGCAGCGCCCCTGCAGGACCCTGGCTCTGTGCAGACCCAGGAAGGTGAGTCCAGTGTGGAGGGTCAAGTCCAACCTGCAGCAGAGGGTCCCAGGAAGACCCTCCCTCTGGCAAAGCTCCTTGTCTGGGCTGGAGCCTTAATGGTAAAAGCATGAGTGAAGGATCCCTGGAGGCTACAAATACCATTGGGCATTTCTTCACCTTCCATAGGCCTCTGCGCCCTGACAGGCCACCTGCTCCCTAAGACAAGGGACAAAAGGAGTGGGTGGAGGGCTCAGGAGGAGGACAGAGGAGGGAGAGGGAAGGAAGAAGGGAGTGGGCATGCAAGGTAAGTGCCTAAACCCTTGGACTATCTGTCCCTGAAATTATATATATATATATATATATATATATATGTTTGCTTTTTGGGTCACGCCTGGCGATGCTCAGGGGTTACTCCTGGATCTGCACTCAGGAATTACTCCTGGTGGTGCTCAGGGGACCATATGGGATGCTGGGATTCGAACCTGGGTTGGCTGCGTGCAAGGCAAACGCCCTACCTGCTGTGCTATCGCTCCAGCCCCTGGAATGATATTTTTGTGACAAGAAATTCAATCTCTTTGGCTAATCCTCTCTGTGGGTGTGAGGAAATACTATAAAAACAGAAACTGAGGGGCCAGAGAGGTGGCCTAGCAGGTAGCGCCTGACCCAAGTTTGACCCCCAGGGCCTCATCTGGTCCCCTAAGCCCTGCCAGGAGTGATCCCTCAGCACAGAGTCAGTCCTGAGGACAGCCAGGTGTGGTCCCACAAAAATGGACATTGAGGATAAAGACAAGGCGGCCAGCCATGGCTCCCTCCTCCCAGGTCACCAGCCACAGAAACCAACTCAGGCGTGAATTCCTTCCTGAGCTTCTCCTCAGAACATCCCACTGTCCTGGAGAAGGGAAGAGGCTCACAGGAGCCACAGGCCCTCAGTGTCCTGCCCACAGACCTCCACCGCCCCTCATCCTTGGGCATGTCACACCTGTCAGGTTGACACCTGGGTTCAAGGCACCAGCTGGGCTCTGGGGACCTAGAGTTGACTAAATTGATGCGATGGTTTTTGGGGACACTTTGGTTCAGCAAAATGGCTCCTGGTGTTTGTTTCTCCTATAGAACCAAGCTCCCCGACTCTATGTGGTGACCGGCCTTCTCCACCATGGGCACAGGCTTAGGCATTTATTTTGTTTGGGGCTTCCCCAGTGAGGTGACCATTGTTCACACTTGCCAATGTGTCCATGACTACTGCAAATTCCTGCATCTTCATCAGAGAACAAAAAAACCCTTTCAGGCTGCCTTGGTATGGGAGAAAGTTCTTAGTGATGGTATTTTCCTGCACAGCCCTAACTTTTTTGAGGTATTGGCTCATTGCACCAAAGAGTGACTGGAGCTGCTTCTTCACATTTCCTCCACCTAATAGAAACTTCCATAAATCCTTCACTTGGGTCAGCCTCAGAGGTCTGTGGTGGCTTTCACAGAGACATATACCTTGAATATGTGCTGATACACGCTGCACGTCTCATACACATGTTTCCAGGGTGGGGCAGATGTTCAAGAAAAATGAAGAGCCACATCCTCCTCTGGTTCAGTGAAATGGTGTTTTTGTTTTGTTTTGTTTTGGGGTCACACCCAGCGATGCTCAGGGTTTACTCCTGGCTCTACACTCAGGAATTATTCCTGGCAGTGCTTGGGGGACCCTATGGAAAGCTGGGGATAGATTTCATGTTGGCCGCATGCAAGGCAAATGCCCTACCCACTGTACTATCACTCCGTCCCCCAAAATGCTTTTGATAGTCATACTTTAAGACCACCTGGAGGGTTGTTTTAGGAGTCTTGATTCTACTGGTAAGAAGTAGCACATGAGCACATGACAGCCAGTTGGTGCCAGCTGGTGGCTCCAGGTCAGGAAGTTGTGAAGGTCAGAAGCCAGGAACATGGACTAGGGGAGACTGTGATGGGGGGATGGGAAGGGGGCAGAAACACGCGCTGATGGGGAGAGATCTGCTCCACACAGGCATGCTAGGGACCCGTGCCTTCCAGGCTCAGAGCTCACGCCTGCTAGCAGTTGAGCTGACACATTCTTGCTCACCAGCTGTTTCCCACATGGCCTCTGGCCTCCATCACAGGGCAGCTCATTTGCAGGGAGCCAATGAGTGAGGAGTGATGGGCGGACAAGCCTGTGGGTCTGTTCTTGCTCATTCATCACTGTAAGGTCTAGGAACCAAGCCAGGAAGCAGGGAAGCCATTAGCCCAGTGGTCCATGAGTTGCAAGGGGTGTTCCGTTCTGCGGTCTCAGGACACCCTGGAATCCCATCTCCCAAGTGTTCTGTGTAAAAACGTTCTATGTAACTTTCCATGGAAAAAGTTCCTCTTACTATTATGCCCCTTTTCCTTGTGGAAGAAGGTAGGAGAGAGAAGAATTGGGGAGAGAGAAATGGAGGCAATGGGAAGGAAAGGTTGAGCGGACTATTAAGAGAAGAAACGGTCGCTGCACCTGGCCATCTTTTCGGTGTCACCAGGAGACATGTAACTTTTATCTGGCCTTGACATCTCCTGATACCCTCAGAGGTAAGTTCAGGGTGGCGTGGGGGTGGTTGGCATGATCCCCCTAAGAGCAAGTGGCAGAGTGGGAGTCCATTTTAAAATTTTGGCAGAGTAGAGGAATCAGACTGATTGGGGCTCAAATTCTGACATCTGGATGTCTCAGACTGAAGGCTAAGACATCGCTGAGCCTCAACTTCCCCCTGGGGAATCCATGGGCTGATAGCTGCCTCTGTGGTAAAGGAGAGGGTGGTTGGGGAGAAGCTTCTTCCCCCAAGGCTAGAGGGCTTTGTTTATCCTGCCAGCAGGTGGAGAGGAAGAATGGGAAGGTGGATATGGCAGAGGAGGGTTCCCTGTCTGCTCAGCACCCAGGGGGTGCCAGTCTGCAAACACCTCCAACAACTTCCCCTGTGGGCCTAAAAAGTTTCCTGATAGTACAGCGGGGAAGGCTCTTTCCTTGCCAATACCCTTCCCAACACCCCCCTATGCCCTCCAGAGCCCAGCAAGATTCCTGAACAGTCAGGAGTAAGTCCTCAAACTGACAAAAATAGCTTTCTGAGCACAAAAGGCAGTGGTCACGTCAAATGTGGAAATTGAATTAGCCATATGTGGCCTACTAGCTGGCTGGGACCCCTTCCTGGGGCCCTTCCCTGAAATACTCTCTCTGACTGGGATATTTCCCTGAAATATTCTCTCTGTCTGGGACCCTTTCCCTGAAATATTCTCTCTGGCTGGGAATCTTCTCAAAAATATTCTCTGTTACTCGGACCCTTCCCTGAAATGCTCTCTCTGGCCGGGACCCTTCCCTGAAATATTCTCTCTGGCTGGGACCCTTTCCTAAAATATGTCTCACTGGCTGGCTGCGTCGCTGTGGTCAAGATCTTCATAGCCTCTGAATAAATAGCAGTACTCCTACATTAAAAAAAAAAAATCTTCATAGCTCTGTCAAAATCTTCCTCTTCTCGGACTGGAGAAATAGTACAGAGGACTACAGTGCTGGCCTTGCATGCAATCATCCTAGTTCAAATATCTGTCACTGAATATGGCCCTTCAAGCACTGCCAGGGGTTACTCATGAGCAGAGTCAGGAATGAGCTGACACAATCGCTAGGTGTAGCTTAAAAACCCAAACAAGCAAACAAAACGATCTGTGCCTGTATTCCATCCTCTCTCTCTCTTTGTCAGACTCACAGTAGAATGACCAGGGCAGTGTGTAAGCAGATCTAACCAGAAGAATGAGAAGTGTGTGTGTGTGTGTGTGTGTGTGTGTATGTGTGTGTGTACACTAAGTATGCTTCAACTGGTATCTAAGAGTTTTGAGAATGAGCTCGACAGAAACAATATATAGAGGCTGATATAGAATATAAAATTGTAGTCCTCAAGTTTCTATAGATTCTTATGATATTAAGAACAAAAGATTAATCAATCCATTTTAAGTTTATAAAGAAAATAATGAACTTCGAGGGGAGTTCTGAGTAGTAAAATGCTCCTCATTTGGGCTCTCCAGTGGAACAGGCAATCATGAAGCAGCTTCACTTGAATAAACAGCATGTAACTGGCCAGAGGGGACAGTGATTGTGCTTGGGCCCTGTAGGAAATGGCATTAGGTCGAGGATTCTCTTAGCTCTTCTGCTTCCCAGCCTGACTCCTGTGTGGTGTGTGCTGTGCTATTTTGCTTTGCACACACACACACACACAAAAATATTGCCACACCAAGTTCTAGGGCATGATGTGAGTGGTTGGTACCATGTGGTTTGGGAGCTCTTATGGCAAGCAAAAGAAAGCAGACAGCGGGCCGGAGTGATAGCACAACCAGTAGGCTTGCACGCAGCCAACCTGGGTTTGATCCCCAGCATCCCATATGGTCCCCTGAGCACCACCAGGAGTAATTCCTGAGTGCAGAGCCAGGAGTAACCAACCCCTGAGCATCGCTGGATGTGACGCAAAAAGAAAAAAAAAGAAAAGAAAAAGAAAGTAGAAGGCATATAGGAGACATGGTCACAAGATTTAGGAACATGCATTGCAGGTGAGGCTAGTCTCTCTGGCCGACATCACTGGGCCTATTCCAGAACAGGAGGCAGAGTCCTTCCCTTCCCATTTGGTTCTAGCAGCCTCCACACCTGACCTGCACCATCATAACTGGCCCATGTAACACCTCCTGAATCATGCAGCCGCATTTGCAGTGGTGTGACTGCACTTAATGCACTTAAAGTACTCTGCAACTTAAATGTTGCTGACAGTTATACTTCCTGTCAGTAGGTGACAAGGGGCAGGGAAGAAAAATGATCAACCCCCAGCCTAATCCCTCAGCGTTCCTCCAGGGGGTCTAACTACAAAGACTCACCCCCCCCCTCCAATACAAAAAGAATACAAGAAAACCAATGGGGAAAACATGTAGAAGTCCAAGGAGTTCAATGAGCAAAAGCAGGATTATCAGAGACACAAACAACACCAATGGTCTCAGTAAGTCCTCTGACAATGACTTTAGTGACACCACGATGAGAATGTTTAGTGAACTCAAAACTATGGCAGGGATAGTCAGAAAAGCACAAGAAAATATGAGTCAAAATGTAGCACTGTAGCACTGTCCTCCCGTTGTTCATCGATTTGCTCGAGCGGGCACCAGTAACATCTCACAACAAATTGTGAGACTTGTTGTTAGTGTTTTTGGCATATTGAATACGTCATGGGGAGTTTGCCAGGCTTTGCCAGGTGGGCGAGATACTCTTGGTAGCTTGCCAGGCTCTCCAAGAGGGGTGGAGGAATCGAACCCGGGTCGGCCGCATTCAAGGCAAACGCCTTACCCACTGTGCTGTCAGTCCAGCCCAAATGAGTCAAAATGAGAAAACCACAATTAGAAATGATAAAAACGAAGAGCATGGCAGGTGATATAAAAAACTCAATAGCAGCCCTGAACAGCAACTGAGCAAAAGATCAAGGAGCTCCAAGAGGAGAAGAAAACCACCATGAAACAATAGAAGGTGGGAAATAGACTGAAGAGAAATGAACAGCATAGCAGAGAACTGTGAAATGAGTTCAGGAGGAACAATGAAATCATCATCAGACAGGAAGACAAGTGTGGTGAAGAAACAATAGTTAAAGAAATCATTGGTAAGAATTACTTAGAGTTGAGGATTATGGGCACAGAGACTCAAGAGGCCTGAAGGGTCCCAGAGAAAATAGAACCAACTAGAAAAACTCGAACACACATTGTACTCAACATGACAAATGCCTAAAACAGAGACAGAATACTGAAAGTAGCAAAAATCAAAAAAGGCACTTCCTTACAAAAGAAAGCCCATGAGACTCACAGCAGATCTATCAAATGAGACTCTTCGAGTCATAAGCGTATGGGGGGATATACAGTACAGAAGCTCAATGAAATGAACACTTCACCAAGAATACTATATCCATCTAGATTATTATTCAGGTTTGAAGGAATGGTAAGGAGCTTCATGGACAGGCAAGAGCTTAGGGAATTTATACTCTTGGCACCAGTTTTGCAAGAAACATTAAAAGAGCTTCTTTAAAGGACAGCAGAAACTTCTCAGCTTGTAACAATGAATAGGGCGCTCACTAACGGTGCATTTTAATCTTTTAAAAAAAAATTTTACTTTATTTTTATAAATTTGTTCACACAATTTATTACATTTAATATTCCAACACCAATCCCACCAATGGTGCATTTTTAAAGATCAATTTTAAGTCACGAGAACAATGTAAGGTAACTTTAATGTTCCCTACTATCTTGACTCTATGTATTGCTACACTAAAAATCTACATTATTTTTCCTATTCTAAAATTAAAATAAAATGGAAGTTAAAAAAAATAAGAAGAACTATGCATTGGGACTATTTATTTAAAGGTCCCTTCTTCCAGATCTTGCTTTGTCCTACTCAACTTTGCTCTCTAACCTGTCAACAGGAGTTGGAATATTCTTTTGCCTCCCAAAGGAACACGTGGTAGCTCCCCATGGGTCATTCTACACAGCAGGGAAGACAAGTATGCTGTCATCTCCTTTTGCAATCATGTGGAGGTCAACTGTTTCTCCCCAGGATGCTTGGAAGTGGCGAGGGGTGGCAAGAATGATATTGACAATGGACAAATCGTCAATTCTCTTGTCTTGGGTAATCTTAATGACAGGTCAATTCACATCATCAGTGCTGGGCTATTCCAATGGGCCTAGGTTTTGCTGTATGTTGTGCTTTTTCTTCCTTGAAATAAGACTCCTTCTCTGGAACATGAAAGCCACAGTTGCCGCATCTTGTTAACCATCTTGGCTGGAACCCATGCCAAGTAGCCAAGATGACCTCAAGTCCAGCCCTAGAAATATGAGAACTCCCCAACACACATTTCCTCTTGGTTGCTGATTTCTAATGCAGATACACACCTGGTCTCCCATTTTACGTTCCCCTTCTAGTGATTTCTGAGGCTAATTTGAGGCTCTGTCCTGATGACTATCTTGTAGATTAATTTCCCTGATAAACTGAAGATAACTTTCCTGATTGCTGCACTTTTTCAAAAAAAAAAGTGAAGCAAGATAGTTTTTATTGAATGAAACTTGCTTAGAAAATTGCTTAGAAAGAAGAAAGAACGGAAATACATGTTCAAGAACACGGTCTTTCCCAAAGTGGAAAAAAGCAGCAAAGATATATAGCAACGAGTAAGAATACAGACTTGAAGAGAAGACTGATTTCTGCACCTGTAAAACTGTGGGAGGAATGTAAGGAAAGAAAGACTTGATAGTATAATACACTAAATACTGTGGACATTTCTGAATGAAGAGATTTTTTTTTACCACAGATTCTCCATTTTGGGAGATGATTTTCTTTGAGGAAGGAAGGAAGGAAAGAAGGAATGAAGGAGGGAGGGAGGGAGAGAGGGAGGGAGGGAGGGAGAGCAGGAAGGAAGGAAGGAAGGAAGGAAGGAAGGAAGGAAGGAAGGAAGGAAGGAAGGAAGGAAGGAAGGAAACCCCAAATTCCTGGGAACATTTGGCGCTCAGTTCAACATTTCCAATGTCTGGCTGAAAGGACTTAACAGGATTATTCTCTGCTCACAGTTAACAGTTACCATCCTAAAGACTCACCATGCCTGCAACACACAATGTCATCTCTTACAGGCTGAGCATTCAATTCACTTTTGGTTCCAGAAACAAGAAAGAAGAATGGTCTGGCTAAAAATCACAAACACTTACTTGAATGAGTCTAGAGCATCATTAACAGCATTGGCGAAGTTAATATCCGTGGGGACAGTTTTATATTCTAGGCAGTAAGTCGGTCTGACACCAAGAATCTCAACCTCACAGCCTAAGAGGGAAAGAGATGGTAGATGATTACTTTCTTCAACAAGCCAGATAGAATGATTTAGGAAGGAAGCAAAATTAATGATTATCATCTTGTGTTTATTTTCATGAAATAGAACTTATCATGCATATGTAGTCTACTTCAATGCATTTTGTTAAATTTGAATGGAGGTTCTCGATGTCATCCCTTCGCCAGACCAGTATTCCAGGACAGGTAACAGCAAAAATAGTCAGTGGTTGTGTTTCCGAACTGGACACAAAAAAACTAATTGACTTATAGAAGTATGTCAATTAGAACTATTTTTTTCCTACAGATTTTTCCTCACTACTACATCTTCAAGTTTACCTTTGCTTATTCTAGAATAAAGTGGTAGGAGGTGTCTGATTCATCTAGGAATACTAGCCTAACTTCACTTCAAAGAATTGTAATCAATAAGCACATCTAAAACCCAATGAGTTAAAGATTTTGAGCCACAAATTTACCTCTTCCAAGATGAAGGATGTAAAAAGAAATTTGAATATTAGTTACTGCTGTGGTCTCTGTTTTTCTGCTTCTGAACAAGGAGGAGCAGTTCTGCTCCCAGCCCTACTAGGAGAACATAGGAAGGACGACCTTGTTTCCATTTCTACCTGGTATATTTACTGAGCATCTACATTGAATTAGTCACTATAGTGAAGCAAAAATGTGCCAATCAGGGTATGCATCCTGGAGTATCCAGTCTATGAGGGAAACATACAGAAATGAAAAGTGCATGGAATATGTGAGGTCTGGAATGCGGGAGCTTAAGGGAGCAGCATTTAACTCAGATCTTATTTCCAGAGACCCGACAAGCTACCAAGAGTATCCCGCCTGCAGAGCAGAGCCTGGCAAGCTCCTCGTGGCGTAGTTGATATGCCCAAACCAGTAACAACAAGTCTCACAATGGAGACGTTACTGGTGCCCACTCGAGCAAATTGATGAACAACGGGAGGACAGTACTACTGTGCTACAGTGCTTATTTCCTTCTATGACCCTTCCTTGAATCTTCACATTGGGTTCACCAATACATTGGAGGCTGGGGATTGAAGGAGTCGGGGGAGGCTTGGAGGGGAGTGGGGGAATAAAGGAATATCCCAGGTGAAGGGAGCAGTTGATGCGAAAGTTTAGAGGTAGGAAATGGTAAGTATGGGTGAGGAATTGAAGCACAATAAATTTTCATTCCACGGGTCTAGAAATCAGATGGTGAGTTTTCTTGTAGCCCTGGGAAAATGATTTCCAGTAGGTGAAAATGACTAAAGTGGGACTAGTTGGAGTGTAGATAACAAAGTCCTCTGAATGTATTCCTCAGGAAATACATTCAACCTACAACTGGAGACCTCTGTCCATTGGCTGCAGCTGACTTGCGTGATCAACCTGCGAAAGTCATTTCTTCATCTGGCATATCATCGTGAAACCTGAATGCACTAGGGAACCCCATCTCTCCTGGGGAAATTAAAGGCTATCTAGGGCAACATTCTAAAGGCAGACGATGGCTTTCCAAGACTTGTTTATTGAGTAGGAAGAACAGACCTAAAAAAGAACAGGCCTAGCAGAGTGGGGACTTGAACTTTCCTGGGGAAAAATATTTGTTACTACACATTGTCTTGATGATCAAATGTCCAGCATTTAATTAAAAACTATGAGGTAAGCTAAGAAGCAGTGAAATATGCCCAAAATTAAGGGAGAAAATAGTTAACACCAGGCCCATGACACAAATTTGCCCTGTAAGGATAAGCACAAAAATTATTTAAAAGACTGTTGTGATTTAAAACGAAACTGATAAAAAGTACAGGGTTTACAGTGTGTGTGTATATATATATATATATATATATATGTGTGTGTGTGTATACATATGTAAAACAGCTGACAGTAAGAATATAGAATGGAGAAACAGTATTATAACATTAACTATATAAAATTAATTATATAACATTTTTTAACTTATAACTTACTTGGAGGTACAACATTAGCAAGTTAAGTATACATATTAGACTATAAAGAGTAGCCATTAATAAAAACAATATAATCTAAAATCAACAGAAAATATATAATGAATTTTTGAAATGGAGTATTAATTTTTCCATTAATGGAAAAGAATAGAGGAAATAAAAAACAAAAGAGGGCCAGAGTGATAGTATAGTGGGTAGGGCATTTGCCTTGCATGTGGCTGACCCAGGTTCAATCCCTGGCATCCCATATGGTCCACCCATGCACTGTCAGGAGTAATTCCTGAGTGCAGAGCCAGGAGCAACCCCTGAGCATTGCTGGGTGTGACTCCGCCTGCCAAAAAAGAGACAACAAAAGAAAAAACAGTTAAAACAAATGAAAAATAATACAAAATGTGATATGCTTAAACTTCATTAAGCTTAATGAAGATCAACAATTACAGCAAATGTCAATGAACAAAACTCTTTATTTAAAATGTAGACAAATAAAGAATGGATACAAAATTAAGGACTAACAATGTGCTGTCAGAAAGAAAAAATTAATTATAAATATAGTAACTCAATTTAAAATTAGAAAACTTTATACCATGTTGCAATAAGTACAAGCAAGTTTATGTGATTCTATATCAAAGAAGAATTCTATAAAAATCACATAAAAATGAAGATAAGTAACTAGTACTCTTGTAATTTTACAGTGAAACAGTAATGATAAAATTATTATAAAATTGTTTAAAGTTTTCTTGAGCATCAAATATTCTGTTTACATATACCCTATTATCCAACTATCCACTTCTAGTCATTTTTATGAGAAATGAGTACACATTCACAAAAAGATCTGTACAAGGATGTTCATTGAAATCTTAGTCATATAGAAAATAGCCCAAATATTCATGTAAGAGAATGGAAAAAATAATCTTGATGTATTAATGATACAAAATAAATATTTAAGATATCAAATAAATATGATGTAACATAAATATTTATTATATAAAATAAACACAGTATTATTATGATATAAAATAAATATTTTTACTCAATCATTAAAAAAGTAAATAATATATGCCACAAGGAACTATATTTCAAAGGCATTTTATTGAAAGAAAAGACACTTTCGATATCTACTATTTGTAGTATGATTTCACTTACATAAATTCTAAGACTAGACAAAACTCATAAGTAATCATGCAAATCAGAAAGCATTTATTACTGGGGTTGGATATCATTTGACTGGAAAAAGGAATAACCCTAGATAAATTATACATCATGGTTTGGGTATTACCCAGGTGCGTGCAACTTTGAAAATGCATCAAAAAAAAAAAAAGAAAAGAAAAGAAAAGAAAAAGAATCAAACTTTTCTCTCATGACTTATCCATTTTATTGTATGGAAATGTTTTAATAATTAAAAGAGCAATTTAATTCAATATCTACAGTGTACATAAAATTGTATTAAGATGTGAATAATACTGAATAAAGTTGATGATGTAAAAATAGTATTCATATTAGTTATTTATTAACTATTATGTACCAGAGCTACTAAGTGAAATATAAGTCCTATAGAGCCTGTGATTTGCTACTCATATCCCCATTTTACATACCAGGAACAAAGTAAAAAAGGTGAAGCATTGATTCCATTCTCACAAGGCAAGAGCAAGGGAGAATGCATCTTTGAATTCAGTTTTATCTGACTCTCAAACATTAGATATTCTTTTGAAATAGTTCTGGAAATTTCAGACATGCCAAAACAGAAATTGGAGTTTTCACACTATTAAGGTTTGGTTAAGCTTACAGAAAAGTCAAAATGAAAGAATTCAAGAACAAAGATGGGGTTCTCATGGTATACAACAAAGTGAAGAAACATAGCTAAGACTAAGTAATGCATATTAAGGTGCCTATGTAAAAACACTTCATTGAAAAATAAGACACATACTTAAATTTTTAGTGATAATATGGATCTAAAATGCATCATTAATTTAGCAATAAATAAATAAATAGAGTACCAGGGAATGAGAGAGAATACTTTCATTTGGGGATGAATGGGATGATCAATATATAATTTTCCATTCTAGATATTGATTTAAAAGAGAAGTATTTTAAAAGTTGCACACATAACTCCCAAATAAGTAAAGATAAAAATAAGCTTTCACATAAGAGAAGGATCACATGGAGGGTGCGGGATCCCGGAGGAAAAAAAAAAAGAAAAAACAGGTTCCAAAAAGAGCTGAGATCACCGGCAAGTTCCAAATGGAGTAGGTGCCGCATCCCGCCTCCCCCAGATGGAACCCCGGTGACCAGAAGCCTCTACAAACACAGCTCGAGTATGCGGGAACGAGGACTTTTTCTCAAAACCGCGCGGCCGCTTACGTGGCCGCGCGACATCTCTCTATATACAAAGTGATCAATGAGAAGTAAACCACCCAATCTTTCTCCCTGAAAATCAGAGTTAAGTTTGGAGCACGGCCACAGCCCCAGAAACACAAGGACTTAATGCAGAACCCAGCAGCTTGGAGCAGAAAAGTGAACGGACTATGCGTTGATCCAGGCCATCAAGTCTGCCGGAGGGGAAAGGGTGTTGCCCCATTCGCCCTCTCCTCTCTGGAAAGAAAGATGGCGGCCACATGGGAGCCTTGTGGACAGCAGGTATGAGCCGGGAGTGTGGGGGTGACTAAAACCTCATTGGAAGGGGGGCGTTCCGGTCCGTCCTTCACGCCCTACCGAGGTCACCAGTTGCCCCCCGCGAGCGGCTCTCCAGCACGGCCACAGCCCCAGAAGCACAGGGACTTAATGCAGAACCCGGCAGCTTGCAGCAGAAAAGTGAAAGGACTATGCGTTAATCCAGGCCATCATGTCTGCCCGGAGGGGAAAGGGTGTTGCTCCCTTCCGCCCTCCTCCCTCTGGAAAGAAAGATGGCGGCCACATGGGAGCCTTGTGGACAGCAGGTATGAGCCGGGGGTGTGGGGGCGACTAAAACCTCATGGGAAGGGGGGCGTTCCGGTCCGTCCTTCACGCCCTACCGAGGTCACCAGTCGCCCCCCACGAGCG